GCAATAAAACAACTTTCGGAAGATTCTCTAGGCTAAAAAACCAAGATCCGCCTCGGCGACCACTGCAGGGAAGCTAGTGGTCGCCGGGGGAGGGCACCTAGCTCCCTCAGGCGCCTGAGGGAGCTAGGTGCCCTCCCCCGATGCCCTGCCGTTCAAGCTTAACGCGTTTAGTGATTTGTAGGTTCTAAAAGTATATGGACCAGGCTAGCCGAAGAGATAGTCTTGAAGATTCGCCCGCAATACTTCCGGTAGATCTGTCATTTCTTTGAGGAGCAAGTGCTCTTTCTTTTCACTCAAGGAATCAGGAAACCCGCCGATCCAGTATAAGTAAAGTTTCGGAGGTAGTGGAATTATAGCACTCTGCAGTAATACTTTTAAGGTACTGGCTACTCACTGTAGGCCCTCAAATACAAGCAAAGTCCATAGCTAAACGGAAGTAACTTTCTCTCACCGAAAGTGCAGCCATTATTTGTTTTCCTCTGCACACTTTGTATTCTGTATTCGCGTACGCGAGCTACCGTGACGACGATGGTGCTTCATGGTTTTCAAGTTTGTCTACAGATTGGGTGCGGTTTATATTTTTTAATATACCAATGGATCCCGAAAAATAACTACCGAACCCGTTTTATCGAAATCGGAGAAAACCAAAAACCTCCGAATCCGAACTGATGAAATGAGAAAATCCCAACCTCAACGGAAACAAATCTTCATCTGCAGATTTATTTCGCCTGGACCAGGAACGTAGTCCGCAGTGAACTGTCAACAACCCAGACAGCACACGACGTCGGCCCAACATTGGTATTTAATTGGCAAACAATGGTCCAATATTGGGCCAATGTGGCCATCGTAGAACCAATGTTGGTGGTACACTGGAATATACTGGTCAACGTTGGCCTGACTTGACCAACGGCTCACCAACGTTGGTAATCGATTGGCTCAGGCTGGCCAACATTGGCCTACCTCAGCCAATGGCTTACCAACGTTGGCAATCGATTGGTTTAGACTGGCCAACATTGGCCAACCTCAGTCAACGGCCTAGCAACGTTGGCAATTGGTTGGCTTAGGTTGGCCAACATTGGCCGGTCTTAGCCAATTGGTTACGAACATTGGTAATCAATTGGCTTAGGCTGGCCAACATTGGTCTATGTTAGCCAATGAGTTGCCATCATTGGCAATCGGTTGGCTAAGACAGGTCAATGTTGGCCAGCTTAAGCCAATCAATTACCGACATTGGTAATCGATTGACTTAGACTGGGCAACATTGGCCTCTCTTAGCCAGTAGCTTGCCAATGTTATATATAATTGGCTTAGTTCTTTTAATGTTCTGATCGCGCACGCTGAGAACAATCTCTAGCTATGCCTCCGGGGGGAACGATTCTTCTGTTTTCACACGCAGAGCAAGTTAGCAACTGAATTAGAACGCTGTATTCATTGCGAGCTGTAGCAAGTTTGAACGTCCACGCAGAAAAAAACCGTGTTCGGTGACAGGTTAAAAATAAAGGCTGGGGAGGAGGTCGACTCCTCCTGATCTTTCGATCTACAAATATGGAAAGAGATGGGAGGAGCTTCTACCACCTGTCACCGACTATAACTAACATGCGTCTTCCCAAAACTGATAGTTATGCTTAGTAAATTCTACATGAAATACAAAATGCACGCTTCCTTCGATTTGTGTATATGTTTATACGGCAAAAAGCATAGTGCCTCTTCTCTAATGCCCATTTAGCGACGCAGCGAGGAAACCTTTCCAAAGGGGGGGGGGGGGGGGGCAGGGTTCAACCCCGAAATTTTCACCCGCCTCCCCAACCTAGGGCACGGGTGTATTGTCAGCTGTATGTGATCTTGAAAATCTCAAGGCAACCCGCTTTGCTGAGCCGCAAAACGCGGCCTATAATTCAGACTGAACCGGACAAAATTAAAAAAATAAAAAGCACTAATAAGTTTAGCAAAAAAATAAAACCTTAAACAAATATCCAGCGACTGATTAAGCAATTACATGTCTTCACGAATAAAAAATTGCGTTGAATTAACATCTCGAACACCCTATGTTTGAGGTAAGAGTGACATAAAGCTGATGCGCATTTCAGTCTTTAAAGAAAGGTTATCACGTAACATATAACAGAAGAAGCTGAGCATTATGCCTGCTTGCCCAAAAATGACTTCAAAGTGCGTACAAAATACGGCAACTGCAGTACTGACTACGGTCGTGACAACGCCCTCAGAAATATAGGCTCTAATAGAGCCAATGGGTTACCAAAGTTGGCAATCGATTGGTTTAAGCTGGCCACCAATTGCCTGTCTTAGCCAGTGGCCTACCAACGTTGGTAATTGATTGGCTTAGGGGGGATCGGTGGCCGAGTGGGCTGAAGCGCACACCCAACTCGACGCGCGTGGAGCGAAAGCTCGCGCTGCAGAGCCCAGGGATTGTGGGCTCGAGCCCCGCCCCTGCCCGTTTCTATCTGGATGAGCATCGTACCGGCGTGCGGTCGTGTATCACTAATGCGTGGTGCACGTTAAAGACCCCAGGCTAGCGGTTGTACTGCACTGGCTAAATTGCTCATCTACAGCGTGTGACTTGTCGCAACTTTATTGGCTGACCAACTACATGGTGTATAAATATCCCCACAACCCCAATTATTATTATGATTGGCTTAGTCTGGTGTGATAAGCGATCCCGCGACCAGCCGGAGAGGACGAGAAAGAAGAAGACGAGGTGGGGGCATGCGAGGAGCGCGAGAGGGGATTCGGGCGGTTGACAAAGGACGGTGCAGACGCGACCAGGCCGGACCTCCGTCGGCGTGACCAGACGTCAAGAGGCCCGACCCACAACCCACCTCTCACGCAGTCCGGGCGCCAACCTTCCGGAGGTAGACAAGACTGCATACGTGGCGCAGTTGAACACCCGCTGCCACTCCGTGCCACAGACGTTCTGGGCGTGACTCAAGCCTTCGGCCAACGCCCAACTGCCTCGTCGCTACGTCCTTCGGCCCAGACCTTGGCGGACACCTGGTCATAGGCTGCCACCGGCGTACGGGGCCTGATTCAAGCCTTAGGCCATCGGTCAACTGCCTCGTCACTACGTCCGGACCTCGGCCCTGACGTCGTAGACCCCTGATCATTGGCTACCACGGGTGCTACGCCGCAAGGACTGAAAAGTCGTGAGCGAGGGACTTTTTAGGGGACACTCAAACCTTAACATTTGTTGAAGTGCTGCTTGGAAGTGTGCTTTACTAAGACCAATGTGGGTTTGAAAGCGTTGATCTTTGACCTTTGGATCTTTTCGTAGATGCCATCAATGCGAAGCTAACATTTGAAGAATCGACAGCTTAAAACTGGTGCTGAAGTGGCTGCCAGGGTCTTGCGACAGGGGAGGCTGCAGGAAGAGGCGTTCGGAAGCCGTAATGGCTCCCCAGCCCCAGGACTCGCCCCAGGACCTTCCCCAGGACCATGCATAGGCTCCCCGCTGAGCTTCCTCCCTAGCCCTTTTCAATAAAAACTCCGAAAAAAGTATTAATTAATCTTGAGTTAGTCATTTGCTCGCCAGATAAAATAGTGCACAGACAAAGCATAGGAGGACCTTGCCATTTGTGCCCAGAATGTTTTTCTTGCAGTGGGCTGCTAATAAGAAACAGGCCAGGGGTTCTTAAAAACTAATGTTGGAATAACCAGGATTTAAGCACATTGCCATCATCCCATAGTCAGCATTAAAGATATGGCATTAACACTGGGACATGCCAATGAATCAGCTTGACTGCCGATAACGGTTTATTCAATGATTGAACTTGTATACCAATGATGGCATAGCCATTGAATTAGTGTGAAAGCCTAAATTGGCATAGCCAATGACATAGTGTGGATGCCAACGATGGCTGAAATATTGGTTTAACGATGGCCTAAAAAAGGTGCCGATGATGGCTGGATCATTGGTTGAAATATGGCCCAACGTTGGCGCCAATGACGGCTGGAAGGTTGGTTGAACGATGGCCCAACGTTGGTGCCAATGATGGCTGGAACATTGGTTGAACGACGACCCAACGTTGGTGCCAATGGCTGGGCCAACATTGGAAGAAGTTGGGCTCGGCCAGAATACCAATGTTGGACCAACCTCCGGAGCCAGCGTTTGCCATTGTTGGCCCAATGTAGGTCCAACATTGGTGTGCTGCCTGGGAAGGTTGCTTCTTTCTTTGAGATACATCTCGGCTGCTGATTGAACGTACCGCCATAGCATGCGAGTAAGCAACCAAAAAGACATTCTTGACCGGTTTACAGCGTTGATAATCCTGTGATATTTTGGCGAGAACGTCTACCAACATATTAACAGCGTGACAAGTATCCCGGTCTTTAATGTGCTTGCCCTTGTTCCACCGGTCGAAGTCGCTTTGTATACGGCAGCAAAACAACTCGAGATTTGCGAATGAAGCGCGAGTTCTTAATGGCTTCAGACATGAAGTAGCAGACGACAGTTGTTTGGGCCCGCGTCCGATCTCTCTCTTCCGCGGCGCTCGGATCGTGTAGCAGACGATAGAACTTTTTCGCAGTTTGTTAACAGACGAAGTGCAGTGTTTCCGCGTTTTATTTCGGTCTGCGAATAGCGCTTCGCAGCAGACGAACCGCGCGCTTCGGTCGCGTTTGTTCTACGGACGGCATCTTTTCTTGCGTAGTAAGAGACAGATTAGACCTTGCCATCGCCCTCGTGACGACCAAAATCGGACCCTTGAGACGTTTTCCACGCATTCGGATCACGCCCGTGCTTCATGCAGGTTGGGGCAACCCGGGGTCATGTCCTCCTTTTCATTTTCAAACCCCACCGTACACCCTGATTTTCTTTCGTTCGACGCCAAAAATAGACACATTTAAACACCGTATTATATATATATATATATATATATATATATATATATATATATATATATGAAAATCTCGAAAAAAAATAAAAATAGCATGTGATGGAAAGTTACTTTAAAAATACGCGAATATTTTATTTATCAGCGAAAACTCACCTGAAGAATAACATCAACTTGGGTGGGACTTGTGCTGACCGGAACTTGAAGGCACCGTATCAGCGTGTCGACGCCCCACTTGGAAGCAAGCCCCGCCGCGTCCCCGGGCGTCTTCCTCCAGTTTGCATTTAGAAAATCAGTGAAGCCGAACTCCTTTTCAAGACCTTCCATGGGCGCTGTAATACCCTGATCTGAATTCAGGAGAAAGAGAGACGAGTAAGCACTTTTATTCGCAGCGATTCAGGAAATATTGTAGCGGGCACGAGCCCTGCAGCGCATGAAGCCCTTCGATACGAAAACCTCGGCACAGCAGTTTATTTCCACAATGTCAAAAAAGGGTAGACGTCTTCTAAGAGAAAGAAAGTATACTACGCTTGCATGAATGGCTGGGCACAAACATACTCGACGAAATGTTGTCTGGTTGGGTGAAAATTGTTGTGTGACAAATGGGATTTTCATCCCTAAATGGGACGAGGTCAACCTCGGTTTCTTTCTCCGGTGCGACCAAAAAAACATTGAGAAGCAACAGTTCCTTTTACCTGCTGCTGAAAACTGCGACATCAATTAACGAACGCCGTGGCAACTTTGAGAACACGCGCATCCCCGCTTTTGAGACTACCTCCCTGCTGGAGACGTCTCGTAGACTCACGACTCACTCAGACTATACCGGAGAACATCAACAGGTGCCTTGGCGCTTTCACAAGTACAGCGCAACGAGGTAGAGGGGCTTAGAGTGATAAACCGGAAGTTCGGAAGTGGCACCCCCCCGGTTGCCGCCATATTTTACGCAAATGTGACCACTCGTCACGTGACCTCCCAAGAGCCGTGACGTCACAGGTAAGATGGCAGCGCCCAGAGCTGGCGGATGCGAGTTTGTTCGGTGCGCGGTAGCCGTGATGTGCAGCTGCTTTCCGACGACTTCGGGCTTCTTCGTGCTTGCTGACGCAGGTATAATGTGAAAATATGAAGGAATGAGACTTTATACCGTTTTTGCGCAAGATCGCTCTGGATCATCTGGATATTAACGCCTGTGAGACAGCATCAGCTCTGCATCGCCGTACCGGTGCTTGGATTCCGGGATGTGTCCGAGGATCGATAGAACTTTGAGTGCTTTTAACATGAAATTTTCGCATTCTCTTAGCTTTGTTTGAACGTTGAATTATCTAAGAATCTACGCGAAATGTATACGTCGCGTTAGGGCCTAAGGGAAGTTGTTTCAGCCCTCCGTCACCGAACAACCATAGCAACTTTTAGCGAGGAAGCTCCTGCGATTTTAACCTTTTGTGCTAGTCCGATTCTACAATCGATCGCTTTTCTTCCTTTTTTTCTTTTTGTGTGTGTGTGAGTGCGAAGTGCACCCTTATTTTCAGCTACGAGGTTGGCGTTTTATTGAGTATGGGGAAGAATAAATCGTTGCAGGCACCTGCTTTAAAGCTATTCGACTTGCTATAAGAACAACTGTTTTGGTGCATGCATAGATTAACTGCGCATTTTTTCTGTTTTGTAGGATTTATTGCAGCTATACTCTTTTCCATCAAGAGTGCATTGTATTAGTCGGTCAATTATTTAATTGTTCTAATTACCTGGATAACATGATTCATATTTGTGTTCATCCCTTGCCTGGAGAGCAGTCTTGTTGAAAAATGTTGACTACCATTCCTTTCGGTCTCTTCAATAGACTCTTTTTAAAAGTGTGGGCTGTCTATACTTCGCATCACCGTAACTTGGAAAAGGCCAACCGCCACAGCCCCTCGAGCCAATCAGAGAGACGGAGTGAAGGTGTGTGACAAATCTGTGCAGACGAGCACCCTGGTGATATGCTGTCATGTGCCTCCCTCCAATGTGTGTATTGACTCACCGAGACCGTAGCCTTTGCCGCCTGCCAAATTCTGATGAAACAAATTACAGTAGCTACTACTGTAATTACCCCAGGCTTTCATATTTTGGGTATTTGTTCGACAAGAATGTTATGTCCGCCATCCCTGTGAATTTGGCTCAGCACCTATTGGACTCGAATGCTGCATTGGCGTTCGACATGAACTGGGGCCCATTCGTGTGCTTTGCGCCAAAAAAAATGGTGACGGTTGTGTTGCTTGATAAGGTTCTGCAAAGGGTCTATTGTGTCATACATATAGGAAGTGTCATGCTATATAACAATGCATCAACACATACTATTAAACTATATGCTCAGAGGTGTGTTTGTTTTTCCAATTAACAAGTTACAGCAGTGTGCTTTAATGCTATTATCATGTGTGTAGTTTTAAGTATCCTCTCTGCAATGCCTACGAAGGCCCCTGGAAGGAATAAATTAATGAATAACATTTTCACATCACTGGAGTTGGTTTTCGGATGGACCACATGTTCAGGAAAGGTTGATTGAGTGCAGCCCCTTGCAAGAAGTCTGCCAGTCTGGCATGACCCCTTAATTAATATTGAAGGGTCAGAGAAGTGAGTGTCCTCGTAAGGTCCAGAGCGTGCAATGGACACAATTCTCGGTGTGTAGACTCTCAAGGCATGAAGGCAAGCGGAAATATGTTTATCTGGTTAGTGTATCAAATATGTTTATTTCCACTTGATTACAAAATTATTGATTCTTAGTAAATGGTTCCATAACGAGTTCTTTCTGAGACAGTGTCGTGCCAGGCGCTCAGTCGTAGTACCTGTGGACCTTGTTGTCGGATGACGCTCCTGGCACGTTGGTGTTCAGCTTGGTCGAGTGGCAACTTTGACCGACTGATGCTGTCTTGTAATCATACGTCATGTGCACTGAAGCTGCAGGGCTGGCTTCTAATCCGAAAATTTTCCTGGTAGTTTTCGGCATCAATGTAGCAAGTTCGGGCATGTATTGCCTACGTGGCTGTGCCTTTTGCTGTACCGTTGACTTGAAAGCTGGCAACAATTTTTGTTTGCTATCCAAGTCTGGTGATGCTTGCAGTTTACTTTTGAGAGCAACCAACCATTCTATTCCTTCAAGTCACTCAGGGGCATTCTCCCTCAAAGCTGGAAATTGTGTGCTTCGTGGAGTGGACACAGAAAATTGGTGTCAGCAAATTTTTAGGTATTGTCCTTGGACGATAACCGACACCAAATCCACTGTCACTGCATCGCCGCTCACCTGCTTTGTCGTGCTTACCTCTTGTTGAGGTGATGGACATGAGGAGCGTTGGGGTAATCAGGGATTCAGAATCTTCGATTCAGCACCTTCGGCATCAGGGACAAAGGTCGCCGAAGGTATCCTTAATCTCCCGTGGTCGCTCCTCGAGACGTAATCGAGGGTCGTTTGGCACGAACCCTCGCCGACCAATTCATTGGTACGGGCTGCTTTGGTAGACATGGTAGGCTTCATGCAGTGGTAGCAAAGTGGTTTTCGGTCGCACATTCGCATCACCTACGTTTTCCTCGGTGTACTTTGTTGAGCACAGTCCTACACACAATGTCGGGAATGCTTCAGCGTTAGAGTGTCTCATTGAATTGGCATTGAATACTAAGGAACAGCCGGTGCGGTCGTCGTGCCATTGTGGCGTAAGTTGCCCTTGGTTTGTCAGATGCCGCTTCGCTCGCAGAAGTCTCGGTTGAAATACCTGTCAAACTTGTTCCGAAACAATCTCGGCAATCAAAATAAAAGCCGGGCAACTGATGACAGGAAATAGCTTCCTGATCTCCTCCCGGACAACGTGGTGGGTGATGTCGTGGATGCCTGGGAGGCTGGGATCGAAGTAGTAGCTGGACAACTCGAGTGTCGGGACGCCGGGAAGTTGTTCATAGTGGCAGGCTCGGGCATGCAGGGCACATTCCATGTTGGAAGCCTCAGTGATATGAACACTTCGACTGTTGTTGGGGGGTTGCGGACAAGGCTGCCGAAGGTGTTGTCCCTCACGTGAGGCGCATGGGATTCTTAGGTTCTTGTCTTCTGTAGCATCAAGGTCGGCGTGGGCGCTCGATCAAGCGCAAAACATCCTCCACGAGTGCGGTGGCGCTCTCATTGGGGCAGTGTCCTGGACAGAATCAAGAATGCGGCTCTCTTTCGTTGATGTTGGCTGACGGATGCGCGCTTCAGCTTGATCTTGCCAACTTCCCATGACGTTAAGGAGGATCCATGGTTCTCAGAACAGCGCCGGCAGTTGCTTCCACGAGAAGTATAGGTTCTGCAGGAGCTGGTTGTCTGTCCACCCAATGTGGCGGGCGACACTGTCATATTGTTCAATCCAGTCCTTGACGTCTTCATACAGCTTGCGTGAAAAAGCGTCGGAGTGTGATTTGCGACGGGCATGCAAACAATGGTGGGAGGGGACACGGTTTGCTGCTACAGGTTTGTCATTGTTGGCTTAGTCAGCTTCGGATTTTCTGACAGGAGACCGAATTCCGGTGGTTTTTCCTGGTAGCAGCAACTGGCTCGGATTTCAGGTGCTTCATGGTGTATTTCCGAGGTTACTCCTTGTGGTACTCGGTCGTCTTGCGGTTGCTCTGCCAGGCTCGGGTCAGGACTTTGCCTACGGCTCGACAGGGGTATAAGACACAGAATAGTCCGCCAGCCGTGTCCCATTATCGGGTAACTCGGCTGAAGAGCCGCCGGGTTCACACAGAGTGAAGGGCTACGGGTAAAGTGCCCAGTACTTCCACCTGAACATACGATTACAGCTGAGCATGACCTGCAGTGTCCCAGAATAGTGAATATTGATAGAAGATAGGACTGGAACAAGGATCCGTGACAGTATAACAAAACTAGCAGAAGAGAATCTATCCTGACCATTGAAGAAGCTGCATTGCTTTAGTGGCATTCTGTCCGAATAAATCCTCTCCTTCGGGGTTTGGCGACTGCCGTGGACGAACTGAACTGAAATGGATGTGGGACCACTTTTCTGGTAATGAGCCACTGCAGCCTGTTGCCACAAAGCGGCGTGAGCTGGGTACGTAACACGCTCGGTGAAATGTCCTGACAGCTTGCAATTCGCGTAACGAGTGTGGATGAAACGTTTGTGTTGACGAAACGTGCGACAGACCAGCGGGATCAATACCAACTGCAACACCTGTGCTCCGTGAAAGTGCACGTCTACGCCGGAACAATTTCGGAAGCAGCACAGCATCACCTAAAGCATGGCACAGGGACTACCAGCTTGAAGGCAGCTCTTCGGTGCGCCGCACACCTGTGCTCCGTGAAAGTGCACTTCTACGCCGGAACAATTTGTAAGCAGCACAGCATCATTCAGCACGGCACGGGAACTACCAGCTTCAAGGCAGTCTTCCGGTGCGCCGCACAACTGAAGTGAGCCCTCGGTCATTTGATCGAAGCTGCACCGCGATTGCACACCGCCAAGCACGACTCAGGCAATTTCCGTCGCTAAACTGTGTATCCAAATATATTGCACACGCTTCACTGCAAACCTCGAAGATTCCGATGGTCAACGAGAGCACAGATATCCGAATCAATCCGAGGTCCGAGCAACGTAGGTCAGATTGTCTCTTCCGTGGCAATATCCCGGTCGGTCACCAGCGAAATGCACACCGTTTCTCCGTATTTTCACGTTATACCTACGTCAAACACCACGCTGAACTCTGAACTCGCTTTCGACCGGCCTCATATGAAGGCTTCCGCGTCTGAAATCAACTCGCCGAGACGAACGACAACCAACAAAGCATCCGACAAGCTCCGGCCCAGCTGGGGCCAGCCGCTGCATGGGCGCTGCCATCTTTCCTGTGACGTCACGTATTTGGTTTGGTCATGTGACGTGTGGTCAAATTTGCGTACAATGGCAGCCTCCTTATGGGGGTCACTTTCGAGTGCGGACCGGAACCCCGGTTTATCGCTCTAAGCCCCTCTACCTCGTTGGTACAGCGCAATTTTATGGGCCAAACTGTTTTCATTTTTCTTTTCTCCTGAACAATAAGAGGTGATCGGTGGCCGATTGTGTCGGCGCACCGCAGCTCGGAGCAATCCTGGGTTTGGCCACCGCCACCGAGCGGAATCAAAACCTGCGAACAATCTCCGTTTCCTCCATGGAACGTCGGCACAGTCGAATGGCAGCAACTTAGCAAATGGACCCGAGCCCGATGTCGATGACCGTTCGACGCGTTGTCTGGACACGAGGCCTAGGCGAACGGGGACGCGGCACTTGTGCCCAATACGTGCCTTCGCTCAATCTCATCCTGATGACGTAAAAATTCGAGTGCACAGGCTCTGAGTATTCTAGGCGGCACTGGTTCCAACCCCCTCCCTTCACTTTTCGATCTGGGTTTAACAAATTTGATGAACAAGGGACAAAAGTATAACAACATCATTCTATGTCGTGTCGTCTGAATGTCTTTCATGTTCCTCTTTTGTTCTCGTAATTTGGACGCCTACGCGCTCAACCATTCATATTTTAGAACAGTTTATTGGTTGTTGAAGTTTATATCCGCTTTCTATCGCTGCCGAATAATTGTCATATAGTTTATATTAACTTGAAACTAGTGCCAAAGTTACGTTCGTTTGATTTAGGAAGCAACGGTACAGCTGTTTCGCTACATTTACAGGACCGCCCTGAATCACAGTAACGCGTAAGATTTGACCAACTAACGAGTAAAGCCATGTCGTTACTTATTTTCTATAACATGCAGCGTATTTCGACAGCCATGGGAGGGAGATCAACAAGGCCAATTTTACCACTGAATGTCGCGTTTCGATGGACGTCACATCGCCTGATTCACGAGGAGAGAGTGACATGAGTGAAGAAGGGGAAGGCTTAGGTAAACGCGCCTCAGTGATTCTCGAGCTGTACTTAAGCCGCCTCCCAGAGTTGCTAAGCCGATGAGCGTCAGAAAATATGGCATATCCTCGCCACAGTCCGGGGTTGTGCAAGGAACGACGACGAACGGGAGAGCGCTTTCCTCACGATCACGTGGGATTTTGTGTTCGAACATCGCCGTGTCTCGCCGAAAAGGGAGCACTAACGACTATCGTTGTAAAAAAGGCTCATGAAAATGACGCCTACAAACTATTTCTGAAGAGACGGTGTTCATCTCTCTTTTTTTTTTTTGCGTGAGGCAGTGTACGCGTCGTCCTTTCTACGAGTCTTGCTTCTTCCCTGTCTCGGGTTTAGTCATGTTAAGTATTCACCGGCTCGGCGTCGCGCTAACTATTCTTTCAGTGTCTTTGGTCAAGATTAAGGTGCAGTGTGGATTTGACACCTTGCAACGAATGCCTGATAGAAGTATTTAGAGCATTGTTTTCAGGTGGAAGGGGTTTTAGAGCGCAGCCCTTAGGTGGCCATTTCCGGCTTGAGCGGAGTCGCCGTCTCCGTCGGCGTAACCGCGCGGTGCATTATGGGAAACGTCCCATAATGCAGCGCGCGGGAGGGGGGAAGAGGGAAGAGCAGGAGGGGGGGGGGGGGAGGAAAGAGGAGGAGAGAAAGAGAAGGGAGGAAATGGTAGGAGGAGGATGAGATGAGGAGGAGGAAGGGGGGAGGAAGCGAGGAGAACGGGAGGAGGAGATGAAGAGGGAGGAGGAGAAGCGTACCGTCCCCTCCGTACCCACCAACCCCTTCTTAAGAGCGCCGCTCTAATTCGGCATTACAGGGAGTTCTAAACGTCTTTCATTTTTTAACCCTAAAAAACTTAAAATTCGAGAGTTACATTTAAAAGTACCAATATTTAGCTACTTAAAGGTGTGTTGCTTTCTTTTTTTTAGAAAGATGCAGTTCTATTAACGTCAATATTACTATAGATCATCTTGTTACTAAAATGCCTAATATATCAACACTAAAATAGCTGAGCAGTGCCACAACACAAGATGGCACTGCTCAGGCTCACACATTTATTTGCAAGCTTTGTGTAAAATAAGCTACCTGCGGTCATAAAATCCAGAAGAAATATTTCTATAATATTCTACTTACTTCATAAAGCGACTCTTATACCTGACAGATCAGTCTTCATATACCAAGGCTGTAACCTCTAGAGACATCGTACAGAACTGCTTGTTTTTTTGTTTTTTTTAACAATCGGCGCATCACACAAACTCTAAAGATTTTTTTTGCAAACAAGGCATTTCGCACTTACGTTCTTTGCAGTTGTCAAAAGCAATTTTTACTGCTTTTGATATGCCCTGGAGCGTTTCAGCATCTCCTGCGTAAAAAAAACAACAAAAAAACAGCAACAACGTATATTTTGTATCTCAAATAAACCACCCATTGACACACAACAGCCCATCGAAAGTTCTTACACGTTCATGCGCTGTTACGTAACAACAAAGAAGCTAAAGATTTTTAGTCTGACGGGTTCCCAAAACCGTCGCCGTGTCAGACAATTGATCGGGAGGCACACACTATAGTCGGTTACAATAGGGTGCCTACATGTCTGTCTGTCTCAGGGTGAAGACATCCATTGTTACCCTGAATGTGCCAGCGCGTGACGCTCTCACGCACTTGGTGCGTGACTTGGGCGGTGAAATGGCGTCTATGCATTAGCCAAAGCTACGCGCTCGTGCTGAGTGACACCGGATTGCGCGCACTTCAAAATGCATAGAAAGAACGATTGGGCGGAAAAATGGCCGAGATGTCACCACTCAAGCAAAAGCGCGCGTGTGTATGAAGGCACTCTAGGTTACAAGTCAAGAAGGTAGGGGAAGCTCCTCCTCACAAGCGTGATACGCTCGCTTCAAACGCCTCCGCAGTCGAGAAAATAGTTCGCTAAAAACGCCCCTTCTGCTCTAATGGAAAGATACTAGCTACAGACAGACCTGGTAGCGAACGGTAGCTGGCACCACCTAGCCGAGGCAAATTATGTATTTTAGGCTTCTACATTACTCGCTCAGGAAGGTTGAAGTGAAAAGAAGGTTTAAGTTGCAACGAAAATTGTTCGTTACTAAAAAGATAAAAAAGTCCCTTTCTATTACAGACCTGCGTTTATTTATTTATTTATTGTACCTACCCTCAAGCGACGAAGCATTGTACGGAGGACGGGTAAACACAAACAAAGATAAAACGAAATGACAAAACAAAAGAAATGCGGTAAGAAATTCAAATATCGAATAAATACACTCCAATTGGCAAAAGCCGAAAGCAGCACCTACTACGAACAAAATAAACAAAAATAAATGACTCATATCGCAACATTTGTTATGAACGAAATAAGCGAAATAAAATGACTCATGTCGGCTCATCAAACAAAAATGTAAACAAAGACAATTTTTTTTTGGCAACGTGTTAATTAATTTTTATTTTGATGATCCAGACGGGAAGAGTAATAGTTAGGCATTGTAAAGAAATGGTCTCGCAGCGATTGATGGTGATACACTTTAGGAAACAGGCGAAGCCGAAAAAACTTTTTACGCAATGACAAAGAGGGTAACAACAAACTGGACGTCATTGATGATATACCGGATGTTCGATTATAATTAGACAGAATGAAACGAACGGCGTTAGTTCGAACTAGTTCGAGAGCTTTGTGTGCAAAGGTGTGGTTAGGATCCCAAATGAAGGCTGCGTACTCTAAATTTGCCCATACAACAGTGTTACAATAAAGTTTTAAGTTAACTGGGGCCGTTCTAAAGTTCCGTCGTAGGTATCCTAACATGCGGTTAGCGTTGGCGAATACTAGGGAGTTTTAGAATAGCGCACGCTAAAGCTTTGCGTACGCAAAGAACAGCGTAGTCGCCACTGCGCATGCTCCGAACGCAAACCAAGTTTTGCGCTTTGCGTGCGCAATTTTAGCGTGTGCTCTTTCTGGGAAATAGCGTGCGTACGCAACGAGTCTTCGCGCTTCTCCAAGGAGGATTGGTGATGAAAAGTTGGCTAAAGCCAAGAAGAGCAGAGTTAAAAAAAATGGCGGGCTGCCAGGATTATGTCAGCGGCTGCTTTGGCGGCGTCGTGAGTGCCATGCACGTCGGCGGCATCCTCGCGACTGCGATTTTCAGTGCGGAACGATATTGCACTCCGTTTGGCAACGATCACTGGCAACTTGATGCTTGCGACGCGCGAACATTTTTCGGCGAAGGTACGATGTGCGAAGGTTAGTACACGAGACCTCTCTTGCCGAGGCGACGCAAGCGGACACGACCGGTCAACCGCTCGCGTCGCATTCTCATGTTTAAACAAATCTAGAATGGTACAGTCTGCGGCAATATGAAAGACCCACTGGGAGCGCGTGGCCGAGGCGGTGACTGCCGGGGGCGCTGCGAGAGCTCCGGGCAATTCCATTCTCCTTCGAGGGGAGGACGCTCACAAGGGGCTCAGCACAATCTGATAAGCGCGTTTTGCTTTAGCTGAGCCCGAGTGAGCGTCCTTTCCTCGAAGCAGAATGGAATTGCCCGGAGCGCTCACAGCGCCCCCGCCAGCCACCGCCTCGGCCACGCGCTCCCAGTGGGTCTTTCATATTGCCGGAGACTGTACTTCGAACCAAAAAAACTTGTTTTTTTTTCTTCTAAAGTTACAGCATTTCATGTGTGAAATAAAAATTGGGACTGTATCTTGGTGGCGTCGCAAGCGCGAGCTGCTTGGGCTTTTGCGTTGCGACGGAGAAACGCTATTCTAAACCTTTCTTGCGTCGCGTGCGCTAATACAAGCGCTAAATTTAGCGCTAGCGTGCGCTAAAATTGCGTACGTTATTTTAAAACTTCCTATTATATTGATATGAGGTTTCCAGGTTAAAGTCGGTGATATATTAATGTAGGGACGTGGGTATCCCCACGTCCCTACAGGGGCAGCCAAACCGGGATTCGTGGGTATCCCGGTTTGGCTGCCCCTCAGAGATTGTCACCGACAGGGGTCGACAATTTGAATCGGCACTCTTTGCTGAGCTCACTAGATTGGTCGGAACCAACCGTTTGAGAACGACTGCCTACCACCCACAGTCCAACGGGATGGTAGAACGATTTCATCGACATTTGAAATCGGCCCTTGCAGCTCAGGGTGGTCCCTCGGATTGGGTTCGTCATCTTCCCCTTGCGCTTCTTGGAACCCGGACAGCCTTGAAGGCGGACATCGAATGCTCCACCGCCAAACTTGTGTACGGCACTGCACTTCGCTTGCCGTCAGATTTTTTTGAAATGGAACTGCCTCAACAACAAAGGCAGTTGGACTATGTAGAAGAACTGAAGCAAATTTTTATCAATTTGCGACCTTTGCCTACACGGCAAGGAACTTCAAAGTCTCCCTACGCGACCCAGGACCTCCAAGACGCCACTCATGTTTTCGTACGACAGTCGCAAAAGAAGCCACTGCGCCCACATTACATCGGACCTTTTGCAGTCGTCGAAAAGAGAAGCGACACGTTCGTCCTGCGTGCCAACGGCAAGAATGACACCATTGCATTGGAAAGACTAAAGTCGGCACATATTGGACAAGAGCATGTGCAGGAAATAGCGCTACGTGACATCGACCGCACAACAGGGGAAAGCCAACTTTGTTGGCACCCGGATATTTGTGTGTTTTGATCGTTCGTCCTACCTCCTCTCTAAGGGTGGGGCATATCTGTAGTGACTGGACGCACCGACAAGCGAGTCCAGGCTCGGCACTGGAAAAAGAGAAAAAGACGCGCGCGCTAGCTCAAGCGCTCACGCGCTCACGAAGGGCAGTTCCTGACGAGACACCAGTGAAATAGAACGTTGTTTTGAAACGTCCGTCTCCTGCCTGTTTCTTTCACCACAGTAACACCCAGATAACGGTATTAGCTTACAGATTCAAGTTGAATGTCGGTTAGTGTATATGCTGAAGGGCGCGCGCCTTGCCAGGACACCCGCATTAGTTTGCATTTGTTAGGGTTTAGCTCCATAAGTCATTTTTTTGCACCAAAGAGTAATATTATTTAAATCAGATTGCAAAAGGCGTTCCTCACCATGATCATCATGAGCTTCCCGATAAATTACAGAGTCAATCACGTAATAATGCATGGAGTAAGAAACGCAACTTGGTAAATCAATAACGAATATTCGAAAAAGAAGCGGGCCTAAAACCGAACCTTGGGGTACGCCCAATACCCCATGAATGGTATCGGGCGTACCCCGGCCGATACCACTGGAGTTGGAGCAGTAATGCAATTATATAAAATAAGAGGCGGAAAGAAAGCGTCCTTTGCTCTGAAAATAAATATAAACTGTAACTTGCATAAGTAATGCGTACATGGTTGTTGGTTTTAGCTTGATAACCTCCTACACGAATTGGGTACTTTCTGTGCATTCGCTGCGTTTGTTAAACATGGAAAGCGGAGAAAGAAAACAACAAAAAACCCTGGCTTTCGGGTTTCGACAAATCCGAAGACGTCTTTTGTTTTTCGTTATGAATCCCAACGTGGAGACGGCGGAATGCGATTTCTCCGACTCTTCTTCGTCAAGAGAGTCTTGTGCAGCTTCGCCGTCTACCCCAACGCGCCTCTACAGGAAGCATAAGAGCGGCGATGTCCTCAACCGAGTTGCACGGCAGCTGATAATGGGCGCGTACGTTCAGGTGCGACACACACCGCCCGCCAAGCCCTGTCATCCAGTCCTCACTGTGGAGGAGTCCTGCATCGAAGTCAGCAAAGTGATTGGCGTTGGTGTACGCACCGTCCTCGAGATTAAGAAGCAGGCGAAATAAACCAAGGGACAAGTTATAACACCCTCTCGGAAGCGCCCAGATAGTGAAGGCAAGAAGCGGCGCGAAGTCAAGTACGATGACTCTATGTTGTACGCGCTGAGATTGTGCGTCCACCGTTTTTTTCGGCAGAACGAGGTCCTCATGGTCAAAAAGATAACGGCCGAATTTTGAACGTGCACTGAACTTCCCTCGTTGAAGGCTTGGACTGTACGTCGCCCTTCCCTCAACATTGGATTCGAGCATGACAAGAGGGAACGAAAGTCGCGGCTGATTGAACAAGAGGACATCGTCGCCTGGCAGCAAAGGTACCTGCATGAGATTCCACATCACCGACAAGATGGTCGGAAGATCTTCTACCTGGACGAGACGTGGGTGACGGCAGGGCACATTGTCATAAGGGTGAGGGTAGACACAACCGTGGCCTCCTCTCACGACGCCTTCATGTATGGTCTCTCGACTGGCCTCAAGCAGCCATCGAGGAAGGGCCAGCATCTTATTATCACCCACATCGGCAGCGATGACGGCTTCGTCGACGGCTGCTTGGACGTGTTCCGT